AAGGTGTGACACACCTGAATGCACGGGAATATACATTACCGGACGCTCTGAGTGGTCCCCAGTCCATGGCATATGCTAGTCCTTTCGGTGTTCTTCGCATACTGTTCACCCACTTGTTCATGAATTTTTTAACGTGTTTTTTGACACGTGCGGATAACCGGTCATTGACCATACCGGACAGCAACACCTATATAAATAACGGTACGTTATTCAATAATAAAGGCATGTTTTTTTAGCTGCGACAACTCAATTTATCGAAGGAACTTTTAAATTAATCTAACTTTGTAAAACTTCTTAGAGATTTTCTTTCCAACTACGTCATTGTGACGTCATGGGATCACTTTGTCGCAAGAGGGCGTGACGTATAGGACACATACCCCGACCCCGGCGTTCTTGCTCTTCCAACCGAATATCTTATACGTTTGCCAACCAATATGGTGTTTTCTGTAACTCACGATGGCGGTCTCTTTATATAAATCCTTCTTAGTTGCCCTATATAGCCATACCATTGCCCAGACCATCTCATCCATGTACACTGGGTTTCTGGAAAGGAGATGAAGTATTAGACCATTTTCTATTCACTCCGAGAATCACGCGTTATATATGAATAACGAGTCGCCAACATTACTAGTATTTATTTGTCTTGTTCCTTGGACCTTGTCCAAAAATGTAAGAATGATGAAAAACAGTTACGTACTTATAGATCCCGGAATCTGAATTTGCTGATCCAAGATGCCCCGTAGCGTAGATGTATAACTCCTCTGCCTTTTCACGACACTTGTGAGCATATTCTGCATCATCTGTACATTGATAGTGATAGTAATAATAAAAACTAGAAAGCACTCCAAGAGCGCAAACCTTCGCCATATATGAAAATTACATATCCTCACTAATACCTTTATCTATACATGCACCATACTCGCATAAGCAGCTTCTATTTTTTTGAAAATAAAAACTAAATTGAGTATTGAATAAGTTTGTTCACTCAAAGAACTCGAAGCAAGCCCTGAATGACAATGATGAAAAAGGCAAAGAAGGCAAATGGATCCAGATTTCTTCTAAAACATAATTGCTAATTTTTGAAGAACGCAAAAACAGCAGATTTTTCTCTTCGACTTTTTAAGTAATTTTTCAACGTGTAGTTATAGAAAAAAATGTTTCCATGGTAACGAGATCCAAATCTTAATCAAGGTTTACCGATTGGTACACCTTCTGAAAATGTCATGATGAGAATCCATATATAACTTGTTGTGTTATAAATATTTGATCATTCTCGAGATTGTCTGTATGATTGGCAACCAGTTCTAGATACCCTGCAAAATATAATCGACTGGTGTTTGTTCCGAAGATAAAACCCCTCCTTAAAATATTGAGAATCAGTCACTAATTTTTGGGGTAATGAATGAAAAATCATTCCCTAAATTGGTGTTTTCATGGCAATGGAATCTTTGCATTAAAGACCTCTGGTAGTAATATTTTCGAATTATGTGAAAAATTTCCGAAATTGCCGTTTCTATGGTAACCGTTACTATGGTACTAGCATTATTTTGCCCTCTTGGAAAATTTACGAGAAACCATTAATAACATTTGTTTAAAGTTATCCTGCTAACAGACAAACTAACCAACGCTACTAAGTGAAAATTCCAAAAAGATTTTGGTCGGTGAAGGTATACGTATCATAATCATCAATGTTTTACTCACTCCCTCACCACGTGACCACGAACATGAAATCACGCAAACAGGGTAATAAAGTATTACTATTGTGACTAAGTTAATAGACTCGCTAGACGGTATGGCCGCCAAAATCTTGTTAAACAGATGGCGAGGGTGTCACGAGACTTGTTTGCTCATCAACCAATGTCACATTGTCTCCCAACTTCGCGTCCGCCGTCACGGTTCCCATGATCTATGTTACCATGGAATTTATAACATTAAATGCTATGATCACACTTTAAAGCGGAGGAGTCTTCACCTGCACATGCGCCAAATGGCCATAGCGTGTCACTGTTTACAAACAAGCGTCTACCCATGAGCCTTTGCGTTTAGCGTGTGTTGTTATCGTCGCTTGAGACTCAATTCCCGGCGCGCATTTATTTTAAAATCATTTCAAAGGATTGGCAATCTCGCTCACCCCCCCCCCCCTAATCACCATACTTATCATACAAATTACGGAACATATGCAAATTGCGGATGACAGCGGCCATTTACGTCGAAGGTATATTGGGGGGGGGGGCAAGGGTTATTTTCGTTCAACGTAATTGCAATGTTTTTTTGTACGTACTACGTAAATGGAAAAAATAAATTCCGTAATTCTGTAATCACAAGCTAGACGTACAACGTAATCGATCAAATATTTTTTCCGTACACTGTAAAAATGTGTCATTTTTCTCGGTACGTACAAGGATTTACATCCAAATAAAAAAATCGTAAAGAATAATCCAGGGAAATTACATTATAGAAACTGTAAAATGACTAGATGACAACATTCACTACAAAATTGAATGTCAAGACGTAAAAAGCCCTCTAACCGAATGAAGAGCATTACGAGGGTAATATGCGCTTGCATCCCTACACACGGCGCAGCAATGGTGGATAATTTGAGCCGGAGAGCTCTTCGGACCATTCAATGTTCCTTTTTTTAACACTGTAAACTGTAAAAACGTCTTTTTTTTCCTTGTAAATTGTAAAACGCCCTTTTTATTTCCCGTAAAACCGTACCAGCTACCCCCTTGCCTCCCCTCTATATTGCATAGATCAGTGGGACATGAAACGCGATAGTTCGTAACAGAAGTAACCTACTTCGTCACTAGA